GATTCATGTCCATTAAAACCCACTGAAATATGTACACAAATATGAGCATTATGCCAAATTCCAAATTTGACACTATCTTGAGGGGACATCCTGTATTTGCATACCCAAAATAACATGTTTAGTATATTTTTTAGTTCTTTGGTTTTATACTTTAGGAATAATATTACTTTTATTTGTTATTTCAAGATTTATTTGTACTTGAGCTTTAAGTAATGCTTTGTTTACAAAGAAATTTGAATTCTATTTGAACTGAAAACTTAAAAGTTATTATATTTATTTTTATTTCTAAATCCACAAATGCACTGGATGTTAAAACAAAGATGAGAGAAGAAAGCTCTTCTTAACAAGCTTAGCATTTCAAGCTTGCTTATGAAAGAAAAATACAGATATTTTTACTGAGATTGTTGCGTTTGTTTTTTTTTCCTAGTTCCCAGGTTCAGATGTCATTCTTGCTAACCTACTTTTCATTTGTACATTTTAAGAGAAACGCTTTTAGTCCTTTTCAAATTCAAAATTTTTTAAAACTAAAATGAACTAGTTGCTGAACTGAACAAGATGTGACACTGAAAATAACAAAATTACTTCTCTCCGTACTTGCAAAGATACAGCTGCTATCAAAACCTGCTTCATCTTTGTAGCAGACTGGCTTCAAATGCTTAGCCAGTTAGCTTTCTTTAAGACCAATAGTTTAATATTTTATATTTAAATTGTATATATATTATTTTATATAAATTATATGTATTTATTCAGGCTTAACCTTGTATTATAATTGTAAATATTGTAAATACAATAAGATTTTTGAAAAGCAACTGTAGTGCTTTTTTTCTGAAAAGCATGTAATAGCATTGTGGTCACTTGAACACATGCATAGGTAATTCAGAGGTCACTTATGCGTTTCATATCAAGTGAGTGGGAGGATAAGAGGGAGAAAAGCTATAAGGATTTTACTCAAGGAATCACTTCCCCTCTCCTTTGGAATGCCCCTTTGGTTTCAGTAAATCATGTTTCATGTTCTGTGTCCCAGGTCAGCTACTATCTGAAGACGTACAGAAAGACTCTTATTTCGTCTTAATTGAGTATAGTTACCTTTCTCCAATAACATTTATAAATGTGACATGTTGCTAAATATTAAATGCATCTTTTTCCTCTAACAGATGAATTCAAAGGACACTCTTTACTGCAAGCAGCCAGAGAGGCAGATCTAGCCAAAGTGAAAAAGACACTTGCTTTGGAGATCATTAATTTTAAGCAGCCACAGTCGCATGAGACTGCACTGGTGAGATTGTATAGTCAATCCATTCGTTTTATGATAAATGTGGTGGTAGTGCTAGTTGAGGCGTTTTATTTCTACACTGTGAAAATAAATTCATCATCTGAGATTGAGGATTTGCCATCAAACACTTTATATATAAAAATTAAATCACCATTATAGAAAAAACACTGTATAAATTTTTATCACTTTTTTCTTCTTCCTGGTAGATTATAGAAGCCCTCCAGCAACTCCTCACCTGTTCATTTTTCACTTCTCTTTTGCTTTTTTTTCCTATCACCCTCTTTTTTTGGTTGATCAGTTGCTGTGTTTTTTCTGGGGCTAAATTCTGTTCCAGCAGCCCAGTGCTTCCTTAATGTTTCATGTGGGCAAACTTGGATCACAATTTTTTTTCACAGGGTACGTAAAATTGTGGTGAAAATAGATGCTAGGTGTATATCACAGGGTCTTACAGGATTGGAATAGTACTGACAATACCACATTAGCTATGGAAACAGGGGTCTTTGAGACTTTCCTGGCAGTATGCTGTTCTCATTTCATTGTTTGAAGAAGCAGCGGAGGCAAAGAACACAGCCAGTATCCCAGATGTCATATATATATATAGAAGATGTTGGAGTTGAGAGGGGCTGATGATATTATTAAAACTATTATAGTTATGATACTTTATTCCAATGGAACATTTTCTTCACAGTGGTAGGTCTCAACTGCAGGCATACAGCTGCCTATTTAGTGTTACAAACATTGGGAATGTGATCAGAACATTGTGTGTTGAGTACCAGGCATCCATATGCTCTGTTCTCTCCCTGGAGGACTTAGCATCCTAGCCTGAACTTAGAAGCGAGACAGAGAAGAGATATTTAGAGGCTGAACACAAAGACAGTAGGAAATTTGGGATGATGTTATCCTTTTCTTCCTGAGTATATCAGCTGCTGATATGTGGCATCTCTTTAGCTGTGTAATAATCACTTCGTAGTCCTGTGGTGTTCTTTGCTCTTCTCTGCCTGCTCATTCTGCAGAGACAGCTAGGCAAAATGGGATATTTTAGCTCTATTGATGTCTTTGGTTCACTGCTCAGTAAGTGTTTGACTGTGATTTCTCAATTTTTGCCTCCCATACTTAAGATTTCCAAGTGGTCTCCCATGCAAGTGGCAGGACTTGGCTTCCAGGATCAGAGGAGGTTATGTGCAATCTAACTGAGCTATTCCTGTGCTAAGCATGGTATCTTTTGCCATGGGGCACTAGAGTCTGTGCCCTGTTACCCCACAAAGGCCAGAGCAAGCAACTGGTTTATGTTTCAGCATTGCTCTGAGGTTTGGCAATATTTCAGCATTTGTGTTGCTTTTAGTGCTGGTTTATCATATTGACAGGAAATACGGATAGGTTATTATCTGCAAAGCCTCAAAAATACTGCCACTCTTCAGAGCAAAAGTTAATGTTTATTTACAAAGCTTGCCTTTGCAAAACTTGGACGTGCTCTGCTGAGTAACAGTGGTGTGGAAGCTTGAGTGGCAGTTACTTCATAGTGAAGGCTGAAACTGGGCATAAGATGGTTATCAGTAATATTGTTACTTATTAGCATTCTGTTTGGGGTTTATTTCCTTGTAAAGGCTATTGTTTTGCTATTGGAAAGTTTGAGAACTCTGTTCCACGAGACCGCTTTTTACGGGTTACTGGTTTAAAACATGGGTAAACATATAAACAAAAATATTCAAAAGTACCTCCTACTTCTCATAGTCTGCTATCTTGAGGCGTCCAAACTTGAGACAAGCATTTCTAGACTGATTTTAAAGCGTAGTGTTGAGCTTATCTGGAACCACGCTTGTAATTTCAGGCCTCAGGAATGCGTTGGTAGGGCCACTGTTGATAATGTCAGGACAGATTGAGTCTAGTCTCTGCAGAGGATCAGAGGGAAAAGGGGGGGAACAAACCGCTCACTTCTGGGTGCTGAATGCATAGACTAACCAACAAGCAGACTCCAGCCCCATTCAGGAGAATAGTTACACCTAGCAAAGGGCTGTGTGGTGTTCCCGCAAGGGCAGGCTTGAGCGTTGAAAAGCACTGCGTGAAAGATGTCTTTTTCTCATAGCACGGCGAGGAAGATACTCTAAAAGAACTTTTTTCTAAAAGCCCGTTTGTTTACTACATAATTTGTAACTGGGTGCATAACAGAATTGCCATTAAGTTAACAAGTTCAGTACACACTGAAATAGAAGAAGAAACAAAGCAACATTCAAAAGTCACGTTAATCTGACAACAGCAGCAGAATCTTAATGGACCCCTTTGGAGTACCTCTGTAGAAAGTTAGGCTGTTTCAAGCCCTTTGTCTTTACCTCCTTTGTGCATTATGTACTGGTTTTGTCCTGATATCTTGTTAATGTAGTGGGGAACATACTGCTTTTTTTGTAAGTGACAAATAGCTTTAAAACAAAAATTGTTTTTCTGAGTAGAATAATTTAGCATTGATCACTAGCTTGTATTTTGTTCAGTATGCTATATGTTTTGACAGAAATATGATGGAAGCAGAATAATTAAGAGATGAAGTCATGGATCTTAAAGCTCTTTGTCATCTGTGTAGTTGAAATATAATTTATATTTACTTTTTTGCAGCACTGTGCTGTGGCCGCTGTGCATCCCAAGCGGAAGCAAGTTACAGAACTATTGCTTAGGAAAGGAGCAAATGTTAATGAGAAAAACAAAGAGTAGGTTTCTTAAATTTTTGATTTTTCCAAAGGACTCTGTCATACTAGGAATGTAAAACTATATCTTCTTTTTTTTTTTTTCCCTAGTTTCATGACACCTTTGCATGTTGCAGCTGAAAAAGCTCATAATGATGTCATGGAAGTTCTGCATAAACATGGAGCAAAGGTAAATATACTTAAATATATTTTACTTAAGGCAGAAGGCAAGAAGTGTTATATTGGTCAAATACAGTGTTAGTTTTTATGATGGTTGTTGCTTTTTCTTCTGTATGCCTTGTGCTTCTTGTGTTAACCATGAAGTGTGTTTATCTTAAATCAGTACAGGATGTTCAGGAATCCCACTTGAAAATTAGGTCTTCTCTCCAAGTAACTGAATACAGGCTTTAGGAGTCTAACTTAGTCGTTTTTCATGAATCTTACTACTCCTTTCTAATAAATGTGGTCATCTAGGTGCCTCTTGCTGCTTTATCTCATTGGCTTGAAAATATCCAATGCCTGAGTTTGACACTGAGTTTAGTAGTCTAATGCTGGGTATCCTTAGCCCTTGCTTGCTTCTTATTCTCTTGGTCAGATTGTTTTGCCATGCCTTTTAGCATTGATATGTGATGACCAAAGTAATTTGTGAGCCTATGATGAAGCTTGCTTAGAAATACATGGTTCAGCAAGTTATTAGTTAAAAGCAGAGGGAAGTATAACTTTAAGATGTCTTCTAAGCATCTTTCAGAAGTATTTCAGAATGATCTTTCTCTGAGTTTTAGCAGCAACTTGACATTCGTGGTAATGGTATACTTAGCTACTTAATTTTCTCAGAAACTCTTCTTGATGGGTACTTTCTTTGCATTGGTTAAAATATAAATGATCTCCTCCTTTTTGCCTTTAAGGGGGCTCACATTACTCTCTTTGAGTCTTCATCTTCATTCAGGTAGCTAGAAATGAAGAAATAAACCTGTAATAACAATCTAGTGTGTCACTCTTGATGTGCTAGGAGGTGCGAGAAAAGTAATTGTATGCATAGTTAATACTAAGTCTTTTTATTTTGAAACAATGAATTGTAATTTATAAGCCTGTATGAGAGCTCATTGCCAGATTTCAGTAGCTGATTCACTTCCATAGTATGTTGATGGCATCATAAAATAGCTTAACAACAATACCATGACAGAGTTTATCACATTTGAGAATACTGATGCAGTGGTGACATACCAAGATTTTCCCTGGGGTGGGAAGCAGGGCCAGAGGTCTCAGTTATAGTCACTAAAACCATTTGTTATCATTTACCCAGATTCACTCTTAGTAGCATACCTATGCACTGAAAGGGAAAAAATTTCATTTTGCCATAGGAATAGATACCTCATGGCCTTATGGATCCGGTTTTGCACATGAATTCAGTACTGATGGTACTTGGGTAGGCACTGAACTGGACATGCTGGAATTTCAAGCGTACTGATACCCAAGTACTACCTGCTTTGAAATACAAGGAGTTCCTGTGTGCTGAGGGTTTCTGGAAAGCATGCTACTATACTGTAGGTATTTAAATTAGTGCTCCCTTGAAAATCTAGCTCTGTGTGGTCATGTTAGGAGTAAGCTCAAAGACGTCATCCTTACTGGAATGGCCCGATTTTATTGTTTGTGTCAGTAGCACATTCTGACGATAGCTTCTGATTCTTTTATGTCCTGAAGCAGGGGTTCCTAAATCATGATCCATGAGTCTGAGTGATGAGGTGATGAGGACTGAGTGATGGTGGTGAGTGGCCCCCAGTTACCTACAGAACCATGCTGAATGGTGTGTTCCATTGTTTTTTCAGTTGATAGTATGCAAATAGAGGTACATGGTGGTCATTAAAACTGATTCTTCGTTCATATCCTAGTATATGCTTCCTATGTTATTCTGAGGATAGCCATTCTCATTTCATAGAATCATAGAATGGTTTGGATTGGAAGGGACCTTAAAGATCATCTGGTTCCAACTCCCCTGCCATGGGCAGGGATACCTTCCACAAGACCAGGTTGCTCAAATTTTATGATCTAGCAAAGTATGAGAGACCAGGAGACCACACATAGTTAAAATTAAGCATATATTTCCATACTGCAATGGATCAGGTCCCTCTTTATCAGTGTCCAAAGTTCCTTAGCTGTAAAATGGTATATAATGCAATCATGTTTTTTTCATCAGAGGTAGGTCATTAAGTCTTACGAAGCACTTTGAATTTCCCAGATGGGATATGCTCTAGAGTATTAATTAGTTAACCAGGAATATTTAATCACTCTAAAATGTTTGTCTTGCTTGTATACTATCATATGACCTCTTGCTCATGCTTTGACTGTAGGCATTCAGTTCATCAGACACACTTAACAGTGTTATTTCTTTGTTTATGATTGTTGGGACATGGCAGCTTTAATCCCTGAAGCATGATACAGGTTTTTATTGTTTTGTTTTGTTGTGTTTCTGGAAGTTTTTTCTTTCTGTTTGCTCTTTTTGTGCCTTGAATTTTAGTTACTTCATAAGATGTAGTCAGATGTACTAATTTTTTACAAGAGGTTCTCACGAGTTGGTGAATCAATCCTCCTGCAATCGCAGCCTCAGAGCGAATATCCATTTGTTCTTTGAACAGCACTCTCCTGCAGTTTAAATACCTCTTTTCCATTTTGATGCTTCCTTTGCTGAGGTATTTGCAGTGAACAAACTGATTCTTCTTAGCCTTTGTTTTGGTAGGCTAAAAGCCTCAAACACTTAGTCTTCCCTCATAAGGGAACATTGCCATTTCCTAATCATCCTTATAACCCTTCTCTTTGCTAGCACCAGAGGAAATCTTGGACCTCAGGCAACGAGAATGGAATTCATTCCCCCGCTGCCTTACATGATGGCACTTCCATATCTCTAATGTAAATGCTGGACTAATGCATACTGGGATCATGTTTGCCTTTTTAACAGACATGACGCAGTAGTACTCAGACCCTTCCTGTAGTCTTGTAGTACACAGAGAATCTCAATTTTTTTTTCATGCTAATTTTTCATATTCATGCCCTTAAGCATTCTCCTGTGTCAAGATCATTAATGAAGATATTAAAACAAAATTATCCCACAACCAATCACTGCGCAGCCCTCCCCCTTTCAATATGTTCAATTCCCATGTGATCCCATATCAAATGCTTACTAAAGTGTGGATGGATGAGACATACCGTATTTTCTTTACTTTACAACCATTTCTTCCATCAAAGGAAAGGTACTGTATAAGTCAGCTTTAATCTACCTTCCAGAAACCACTACTGATTATAGAGAGAGTAACAATTTGAAAAAGATGAGTAACTGGGGCTTCAAAGAAAGTGGAACTTTCTTCTTCTGAAATACAGTGCCAAAAGGCAGACAGCTGATCCACAAAAAAATATCCAGTAATGGATTTAGGAGACAAAGTCATGTACAGTTTTGTAGATTAAAAAATAATTTGTGATTGTTTTAGCAGTAGAGAAGAAATTGCTGTTTTCATGAGGAGCAGCTGTGGTCTGTGTCAGACAGTAAAAGTGAGATAGCATGTGAAGTATGTATTTTTGGGAAATGGGCTGAAGCATGGTAAAGGCTGCTTTAGGGAATTTGCTTGGGATGAATGAGAGATGGTTCATGGTCTTGGAACTGGATTTAATTCTCCTTAATTTTATCACTGTGTAAATTTGCTGTTTGAAGTATGTCAGATTATAATAAAAAGTGAAGGACTGCTAGAGTAACGTGTTTGATCTAGACTTATTTTACAGAAATATTTCTAAGAACACTAGTATTGCCAAGAGTCAACCTATACCCACAAATTGCTTATTTTGATGTGTCTTGCTGGCCCTTTCTGAGGACACAGACTAGATTTGTAATTTGAACTGTTAAGAAGTCCTTGGTGCACATCGCTTGCACATCAGCGTGGTATGTCTAAGCAATGCCCATTCCATGGTCAGTGAAGATATTTTCATTAGCTTGTTACTTGAGTTTGCAGAAGTTGACTGTCAACTGTACATTTAAAGCACAGGTGAGAAACCTTGGGGTTTCTTAGAATTTTCTTCAAGAATGTTGATCATAAATGTCTGTGGTTTAAAATGCCATACTCAGTTTTTTTACTTGTTTGCCTGAACTGCAGTGTGAAACAGCATTTCACACCACTGCTTATTAGATGTTGAATATCCTCAAAGTACCTTATGAAAAATAAAAGCAGAGGATCTTTAAAGGATCCTCAAACAGAAACTATTTTTTTATTATACCCATGAGCAAATCTTCAAGTGCCACGATTGTGTCTTTGAAGATGGTCAAAATCCTTTGTTTAAAAAGAAAATCATTTGAAGGTGGTGAACTAATGAAAAAGTGGCTTTCATCCTGTTTTGTTGTATTGCTAGATAGTTGGATACCTCTAATAACTAGCTCCTTGTCTGAATTTACAGATACATGGGAAATTTAATATGTTAAGAAAGACATTTGGCTTTCTAGCAGTGCAGAAGAAAAGGATTAAAGTCTTTTCTGAACTGGAATGATTGTTGGAAAGACAGACCTGCAAGCATGCAAGTTCACTGGTATCTTGGGCAAGTGTGGAGATGTTATGAATGCTACTTGTTCAACTGTGTTATGTTTCTAAAGGATAATGTCGAAGCTATTCTGCAAGAGAAAATGAGCCTTTCCAAGGTCATGTTAGACAGATAGTGTCCCTATTCATGATGGTAGCAGAAATGGCTTCATTCTGCTCTGCTAGAAGGACCTGGCTTCATGGGTCTTTGCATAATACAATTAATTCTATGCGTTGGAGTAGCATGTTGCCAGCCTTTCATGATCATGAATTTGACAATGGTCATCATCTATTTAGACACACACTATAGACTTAAATGGTTTTGAATAACCTTGTTCCAACATCTCAGGTAGAGGGATGATTTTCTCAGGAAAGAATAAGCATCAAAAAATTAAATTTCCTTTCAGAAATGCAGCAGGTTCTGGACTATGATGGTTGACAACATGAAGAGCTGTGTGATCTGTTGCAATTGCGTGGTTCGACTTTTCTCACTGCTGAGACATCCAAACTTAGTGACATTAATCTTAAGCTTATATGCAAAGGGACAACTGTGGAACATATGGCTGGATCATTTTGGAGCTTTCAGAGTGAAACTAGACCTTTTTTTTTTTCTCTCCTTCTAACAGAGCTTGAAATTGCCACCAGCCTCTCTTCACTCTTATTTTGTTTATTGTTAGTGGTGCACAAAGACACAAGACATACTGCAAGTTGTCTTCAGAATAAATGCAGCAGGAGAGCAGATAGAACTCTTGCATTGTTCAGGGAAGGATACCCTGATATTGGAACAGCTGGCAAAGCACAAATTTCATGTGTGATTTTTAGGATGCACATTTTTTAGAAAGATCTCATAGAGAAAATTGCAGTGCTTGGAAGCTGTTGCATTTTGTGCTGCTGTAGTGTCAAGGAGTAGTAGGATATTTAGGGCATTTGATACCAACAAAAAGGTGATATGCATATGATGTCTTGCAAAAAAAGTTTCTTGAACAGGTCGCAGCTGTTGAGCTGCCACAAGTGCCTGGCAGCCAAGGGAATATTGCTGTAGCTGTGTACATTGCTCTGAGACAGCAGCAGTGCAGGCAGGAAAAATCTCTTCAGTGTCTGATGATACACGACCATTTTTACTTCTCTACTGCATATATCCAGGATGGGGAAGAGGAAATGAAAGGGATAAAAGGAAAGAACAGAAGGAATTCTGCAGTCGGAAATACTGTATAAGATGGTATCTTTCCATGAAAAGCCTTACTTAAAAACACTTTTCACTTGATAACTGCATTCTGCTTTTATGTTGTGGTTTGAGCAGTGGAGTGACTGTTTTCGTGCTAAAAGGGGAAGAACCAGATCCAGAGCCAGCGTGCTGTGGAATAAAAGCTGTCAAATCTGTCATTTTTAACTCCTTGCAGAAAACTCATCTGTAAAGTAATTCAGAGCTGCAGCCTTCTAACTTCAGACTGCTTATAAAGGGGAGCAGTTGAATATTTCTAAATTTTTTTTATTAGTGCAGCTGGAACAATCTGCCTTCTCAGCACACAAATAAGGCAGTACACCTTGGATATTTTACATTTTGTCAAATACAGTTTAAGCTTTAGCTTTGAATTTGAAAGGGCATACGTTTTTAGACGTAGTATTGGGCAGGCATATGTCTTACCAGGTTTGATTTTTATGAGAGTTTAATCTCGGTTTGTATTTCAATTTGTAATGCTCAAATTGATTTTCATTTGGAGATAAATCCTGTTGCCTTCAGCCTTAGTGCAGTACATTCTTGGGTTGGTTTTAGACAAGTGCTGCGTGATTGGCGAGAGCAGATCTGCCTCAAAGTGAACATATTCCCCATGAAATTGCCATGCAAAGCCTAATTCTGCTCCTGAGGGAAAGAACAGCTTCATCTGGTGCATGCGTCCCTCTGTCAGCTGCAGCCCTCTTTGTCCCAGAAGTAAGCAGGCATTTCTTCAAATGGCTGGCATTCTTCTGCCACAAGAATCGATTGTGGGCAAAGATAATTATTTGGAGGTGAAAGGAGACCTGCATACGACATGTGAGATGACGGATCTGATGACTCTGCCAGTGTTCTTTTCAAATGAATATTAACATTTTTTCCAGGTATGCAGTCAGTATTCAGTTGTGCAGTGTGAATGCCTTCCTGCTGTTCTTCAACAGTTTGTTCAGTACAGGAATGTTTAACACAGGAATTCAGTGTTACAGAAGATGTTAATTATGATTCTCTTTCTTGGGTGAACGGAGTGTTATCAGCTACTTCCAGAATTCACAAGTCTCATTTCATTCTGCCTTTACCATCACTAAACCTGTACAGCCCCAGACTTCTGCTTTCCTCTGTGCCCTTATCAGTTGTGAAAGGTATCCGGTGTCCTGAAACAGATGAGGATCATCATCTGAACAAAACGATGGATTTGGGACATTCAGCATCTAGTTAATATTTATGATAGCAGTAAGTTTTTATTTAAAACAAAACTTTTAGGCAAATCCCCTTAGAGTGGCATGAGCCGAGCACAGTCAGAAGAAAGCAGAACTGTTCTCCTGTACATCTTCCTGCAAGAGAGGTTTGTGATCTAAGAAATTGCTGCTTTACCAGCATGTAGAATTGTTCGGGGTATAGAAGGATTTCGGACAATATCGAATCACACTCAGCTTTATTTATGTGGTAGTTCTTTGTTCTTTCCTGTGGCTTGATATTGTTGTATTGCAGGTATTTTACTTAATTTTTGTACCCTATCTGGTAGTAGATATTTTCTATATAGTTACCCCCACTAATTAAATTTCATATGCGTCTTATCCAAAATGTTTTTCACTAGTTTTCATGGAAAGGTAGTAGGATTTTCGGGCTGCATTTTAGGTGAGAAATAGCAAGGAAAACCTTTGTTCACTGCCACCACAAAGATTTTGAGAAGGTAAAAAGGTGTGTTTTTACAGTAGCAGAGTCTATTATGCATGCGGTTCACAGCCTGCAGTCCGTAGGCTTGGAAACAGATAACAGGTTCCGAGTTGCTTGCAGAGAATATAGAGTAGTTCTGTATCTCATAAAGTGGTAAAAAAAGCTGTTGGACATTTGCATTTAAATTTGTCATGAATTGCTGCTAGGTACAAAGCATGTTCTTGAAAGGTTATTTTCATGAGGGTTTTTTTCTGCTTTTTAAATCTCTCTATTATTCTCTTCCTTTCTCTGATAGTGAACCCGTGGAGATGCTTCTAGTTATTTAGATACTCTGTTAGATCTTGACAGACAGATAGGTTTCCATTATATCATACTCTTTGAAAGCGATACTTCATTTTGCCTGTTTATACGGTCTTGTATTGAGTAGAATTATATCTAGTTATACTTAACATTTCTGTAAAAGTACAAAAAGTGAAGAGGAAACGGACTGTTTGTATCCAGCCTCTTCCCCCACCCCCCGCTCCCCCCCATAGAATTCCTAATGACATCTTTGTTTTGCTTTAATTCTTGGTAGTGAGTAATGTTGAGTTAATTCCCCTTCTGAGGATGACAGATGGTAATTTCCTTAAAGATGGAAGATCTTTGAAGTGTTTGGTTAATTATTTACCTCTTTCTCATCTTCTGTGAGAGTTTTGCTTTTCTTGCACAAGGTTGATCTTCATCAAATTTGTCAAAAGCTTGATCGCTATTTTAAGTTTGGGTTTGGGAATCCTGTGTTGTCTGTTAGCCATGCAAACAAATAACCTGCGTTGTTAAAAGACAGGAAAGCATCTGCAGTAAATTGTCTTTACATTGGAGTGTTTACTTATTTTGTCGTTTGGTTTTGTTTAGTTGCAATGCAGAGGGATTGATAGATAAATTTGTATGCTGGAAAATTCCTGTTATCGCTCTTCTTATTAAGGGCAGGGACAGGTGCAGGCTTTTAATTATAACAATGTTTTATTTTATATTGCTGCTGATTTTTCAGATGAATGCACTGGACACACTTGGTCAAACAGCGTTGCACAGGGCTGCGTTAGCAGGTCACTTGCAAACCTGCCGGCTCTTGCTGAATTACGGCTCTGATCCTTCCATCATCTCTTTACAAGGCTTCACAGCAGCACAGATGGGAAATGAGGCAGTGCAACAGATTCTCAGTGGTGGGTAAAAATAAAGGCTTGTGTGTTTGAACTTCAGCTTCTCCCTTTACAGCTGTGGATCTTATTTCTTTCTTTAATGCAAGAGGCTTGCAGTATTTTTCTCATCCCTCCCTTCCGCCATCGTGTGCACACATCTACAGTATGCATTGTGCAATACTTTTCAGAAAAAAACCCACAACAAAATAGAAAAAGCCCTGCTCAATTCAGTGATTTTGTGCAAATCGGGAAGAAAATAAACATCTTGTGGATTTAGAGCATGCTGCTGTACAGGGAGATTGCAGGAAGGCAGATGTGGGGAGTTTTGAGTTTTTTTGGTAACAAATTCTAAGGCAACTGGAATATTGCTGAATATGTGAGAAACCTTTTTCCTCTCATCAGCCACCCTGTTAGGTACTCCATACCTTAGCAGTCACAAGCAGAATGTTACTGCCAGAAAAATACTGGTAGTTGCTAAACCGTTTGACCTTTTACTTCAAACCTCTTGCTTGTCCAGCAGAGAAAGATTTTATTGTGAAAGTGCTCTGGATGCTGTTTAGATAACAATTTGTTTGTATCTTGTATTAAAAAGGTGAATAGATATTTGAAGAGGGTGCCACTATTTTTCATGTAAGTGCTTGAGGGTTTGCATCCTCTTACCCATGTCACATTTGAATTTTTGCGAGTGGGGAGTAGAATAACTGCATTGGGAGCTACTACAGAGCAACTAACTCACCGTACAGTGGGATATGCGTGTAGTCAAAGACAGATAGATATCCAGATAGGTGAGAAGACCCATGGTAGCTAGAAACTCCATTTCCTTCAGTGTTTTCAACAATGTTGCCTTAAAACAGGCAAAAAAAAAAAAAAAATAAAAAAAAAATAAAAAAAAAGGTTTTTTACAGCAATGCGGGAAGGGCTGTTTTGAAGTGTACCCACTCCTGAGATGTAGCTGGTTACACAGGTAGCATTACCTGTTTAAAATATGCACGTGACCGTGTGTGTGTGTATTAAGAGAGAAAAATGTTAGCTATGAATCAGAAGAAAGTAAACATACCCCCTGCTGTTAAAGAGAACAGGAGTTTGATTAAAAAAAAAAATAGAAAACTTAAAAGTATTCTGTAAACACTCATTTGATTTCTTAATTAAAAATTCATTTTCACTGATTTACCTTTTCTAGGAAAACCAATTTCAGATGTCATACTGTACTGCTTTTTCATTGGAGAGGTAGTAGCCTTTCTCTTACATCCGTGAAGGTGTTCAAGACTGAAAGATTCAAAAGCTGAAAAAAATGCATGTAGTGTAAGGTTGTTGACACTCTGTTCTCTATATTTCAAAGCTAGTAAATGAATGCTGAAATTATTTACCAAATATTACTGTGTGTTCATTCTGGTAAGATTGGGTTAAAGAAATTTTTGTTTTTTTAAATGTTGGAGTTGTTTTGGTAGAGATTGTTCCCTGACTCTTGAATTCACAGCTTAAAATATTTTCCATATAGTACTGGATTTTTTCTTTTTTTTCCTCACACTTGATTGCTGGGCTACTTCCCAACTGTGAGATAACAGCCATGAAAACAGCTTTCTGATGGCATAGTGGCCAGTGGATACCACTTTGCTCTAGCTGCTTGTGATTTTTGGTTGCAACTGGTAGGAGCCTGACCATGTAATGTAAGAAAGCTTGTAAAGCGAGCTTGTTAATTTTTTCAAATGCTTATTAGAAAATGCTGCTAGTTTTGCTTTTTTTGAAGAGTAAGATTTCTTTAGTTTCTTTGCTCAGTGCAGCCTTTTGGTATTAACGTTCTAATCTAGCGGAATTGAAATCTCTCCTTCCTGCAGTAATTAGACTGTTTCTGATTGATTTCCTTTTTTACCCTCACCAAAGTGAGGGGCTTGGCTGTCTTGTGAAGACAAGGACAGGAGTCCAGAGAAGAGAGAAAGAATTGTTAAGGAGCAGAGCTTTGGATCCAATATAGGACTTAACCTCACCTATTCTCTTCCTACCTCAGGATGCTGAGGTGGTGGTGCTGTTAGAGGGAGCAAGGGAAGGCAAATAACTTCAGATGAAGGCGTGAGCTGAAATCTTAACCTGCTCCAACAACAGGAGTTTGCATGCTATGTTCTGCCCACAGTCACTAACATTTGTGTCAAACCCCTGCTGCCATCCTTCTCTTGCAACATATGTTTGAATCACTTGGAATCATAGAATCATTTAGGTTGGAAAAGACCTTTAAGATCATCAAGTCCAACTGTTTGCTAGTGGAACTGCTCCAGAGGATCGAGGTAGACTCGAGGAAAGGAGCTGGCAGCTTTGGCCATATTAAACATGCCACTGTCCCTCTTCCCTGAGCTTTCTCAGCCTTTCCTTCAACTGAGAGCATTTCTTCACCTAACAGTTGAGCTTGTAGGAGTCACTTCTCACTTCCTCCTCCTCTTCCTGCACTGAGTATGGAGGTAAGGAGGTAGCAAAAGGCCACAAAACACTGGTCAAAAAGAGAAAACAGGGCTGCAATAGGAAATACTACCTCAAAGTGAATAGATAAGTTGATGTCCTTCTGTAAGGATAGCTAGTTAAGAAAACAAGTAACCCTTTCTACCCATTTTCCACTCCTGTGGTATAGTCACAGATTACATTGCAAGGTCAGGAATTGACTGGATTCTGTAGAGACTGTGTTAGTCTGTAAGGAGTACCTTCTCACAATGTCTCTGCAGTTTCCTCCTGACCAGTTTTCTACATTTAAAGAAGTCTCTTAAGTATTTTTGATGGAGTTGCATGCCCATCTAGAATGATCTTACACTGTTACAACACTGACTTTCTTACAGCATTCTTACAGAAGATTGCAACCCCAAGTTCACCTTGCCCCGTTTGTTTTGCACCAGGCAGTCATTTCTGTCACTGATCAGGCAACATGCTGCCAAAACTTCTGGTCCATAAATGCTTGAGCTTAAGAGGAATGGCTTCTACCATAGAAAGCCATTTCTCTTAAAAGTGAAGTGATAAAGATTGCCTTTTCAGCTCCTTTTTGAGCAACGCTGAAGAGCTCTAGGGACAGCTAATCCACTGCTCCTTTCCAGCCACTTCTTCCTCTTCCCTTGGTGCATGCTTGCTTTCTCACAGCCATATTTCTAATGAAAAGTGGGGTAAGAAAGTTTTGAAGCCAAAACCTGTCATTGTCTTACAGTCATCTAAAGAGGAAAAAAGGTATCTCTCTAAAGGTCTCCTTTTAATCACTGCGTCAATTCTTCTGAATCTATTTTTGACCACCATGTTTATAACAAGGGAGAGATCTCATTGTTGCTATGAAGTGCAGTACACAACTGGAGCATCATAAAGCAAGCAGTTGCCATGTGGCCAGGGCCATCTTAGAAATCCCATCCCTTTGTCACTGCTTCATAGTACAAGACATATCACAAGTGCAAAGGCTGTAATTCAGCTGCTGAATTGAGCACGTATAACCCTGGCTGTGCACTGGCGCCTCATGCAGTTTGCTGAAATTGTTGAGAAAGGTGTTTTTGATCTTCAGCAAAACTTTGAATCTGTCCCAGTGAGCATACAGATTTCTTAAAGGCAGAAATGGTTATTTTTACCATACATAGGATTAGCAAAGCATTGAAATTCCATTTGGCAGAATAACGTCAGCACTAGTGTCTAAATCTGACTGGTTTACATTGAAACTAAGGCTCCTTATTCAGCCGTTGAGGCAACATGAACTTGAACATCACAACTCTGGCTGCATTTTTTACAAATGACAAATTTGTAAAAGACGCCCCACCTCCCTAGTTTGGAAAATATGTCGAGCATAAGTTAATATAACTTAATGATCCTAAGTAATCCTAAAACATCTTTTTCCCCATGTAGAAAGTACACCTGTGCGCACATCTGATGTGGATTATCGCTTGTTAGAAGCATCCAAAGCTGGAGACTTGGAAACTGTGAAGGTAGGTTTGAGCAATTAATGTTAATTTTCCACAATGCATTGCTGTGCAAGGCTTGTGGAAGCCTCTGCTACAAGAGTTGTGGAAGTAGTACGCAGTGGATGGTAAATCATAAAACATGAGAAGGCAAATCTCTTCATTTTTTTTCTAGAAAGTAGTGCATTAAGATGTGCTAAGGTGTTTCTCTTGAGTTTTCGCTTGTTCATTTTCCCAGTCCTTCATGCAGTCATGTCTTCAATGGACTCAGATGCAACGCTGCAGATGCAGCTGTAATTTTTTGAAGTGGACCCTGTGATCCTCAGATTCACAGTTTAGTAGAAACAAGCCTTAGGGGCATGATTCAATAGGAAGGCAAGCAAACAAAAGTGTTAACAGATAGCAGACTTCACATTTTAAGCCATCCTTAATCTGAAGGTGAAGGGTCAGGCCATGGAGGAAGGTTTGATCTTTGTGGGCAAAATAGTCTGCAAATAGACTGTTCTGCATGCATTCTCACCTTGAACTTCAACATGATACATATTAATATTCAAACAGCAGCAGTTTTGTGCACCAGCAGCTCCTTTGACTGCCAAGCTCAATATTTCTAGATTTCAGAAGACAACGTAAGCTGGAAATGGTAACATACCTGGAGAAAGTTACATGGCCTTGAACCTGGTGCTTGATGATTTAGAGGCTCGCCCTTTCTAATACGTTAGGAATGTCTTCATACTGCTTCCATCATTTAAGTCTTGTTTCTTATAGAAGTACTTTCAGCCATAAATTTAGAGCAGCTATTTTTTTAACTTTGCCTAAGTGGAAAGAAATTTCCTGAAACCTAACTTCTAAAAATTTGTATATAATAATAAATGGATCAAATTTTTTCTTGGGGTGTTTGGAGGTGGTAGTCTGGGGTTTTTCTTTTGGGTTTTTTTTGTTCGTTTGTTTGACTGGTTTTTTTGTTTGGTTTGGGGGGGGGGGTTGTTTGTTTTGTTTAGTTCTGTACTAGATTTTGGTTTCTTCTTTTGTCTTTGCAGCAACTTTGCAGCCCTCAGAATGTGAATTGTAGAGATTTGGAAGGCCGTCATTCAACGCCACTGCACTTTGCTGCAGGATATAACCGTGTGTCAGTGGTGGAGTATCTGTTGCACCATGGGGCAGATGTGCATGCCAAAGATAAAGGGTACATTTCATTCCATGATATGCTCTGCTGTTTTCTATTAGTGTGAGACCTCTACCCCGCTCTGTTCATTTTGCTTTGGATTTCAGTAGCCATCATGTTTTTCTCTTGAATTTTTCTCTTTTCTTTCTTCTTGTTCTGCACTGTTCCTGACATCACTATAGGGAGATTTATAGACCATTAAGGCATACTTTGCTTTCTGGCAAAGCCTTTGTCAAGTACATATCTGGCACTGTAATAAATGATCCTTTTCTTCCCCCTTTTGCCCATTTTGGAGACTTTGTTGTGCTTAAAAGCAGCCTTTAAGTTATTTCAGGTGATCTAAAATTAGTTTTGAATTGCATGGGGTAAAATACCAGGGTTACCTCTGGTCATTTTTCTAATTCTGTTAGTTAGCTTGTATTATTAAGTTAGTTATTCACTTAATATTCAGTTAAATGATATGAGCCATTTACAGGTTTTTGCATTATTTGCAAAGCCATCATGTAGAATAGCATGATTATGTTTGATCTTTCACTCCAATATATTGGCTCAGGGTGGGGGATAATTCATTTCCAATGCTAAAACATTTCCAATACTGACTTTTCAGGTTCTCCCTGAAAGAAATGTTTTCGTATCATTCTGTATGTTTCAGGTGCGCAGTGCTTACTAATAACTATACTTCAGACTCATTGCATAGTGTTATACCTTTTCTGAAATTTACACTCAAATATCCAAAGTCAGAACATCACTGATTCTCGCAATTTAGTTTTTTGCTGCTGTTAACAGCATTGAAGTTACTTGTTTGTGGAAATAGTAACATTGGTGCATACTAAGTATTTAGAAGTCCCATGGATGAGAACTGAAAGAGAATAATGAAGTTTTAATTGATGTTTTAATAGCAGGGAACTAAAGCCATGAAAATTGGAAAGACTGAAAGATACCAATAATGTCTCGTGGAAATGGGACTTTTATCTATTGGAACTTTGTATGATTGCTTATTGGATTTTATTTTCTGTAGCTATTAATACTTTCTCTTTGATTAGTGGCTTAGTACCCCTGCACAATGCCTGTTCTTATGGACACTACGAAGTGGCTGAACTCTTAGTGAGGCATGGTGCTTCTGTCAACGTGGCAGACCTGTGGAAATTCACTCCTCTGCATGAAGCAGCAGCAAAAGGAAAATATGAAATCTGCAAGCTACTTTTAAAAGTATGTGCTGGAGTTCTCAGATGTGTCTTTAAATGTGTATATGTTTATTTTTGTGAAGATTAATTAATTAATGCAAAATTAATTGCATTCAGTCAGTTCTTTATGGTGTCTTTGAATCTATTTTCATCTTAAAACTGTGAGATGGTTTCTTGTGTACTATCAGTTCACTTAGAAAGAATCATCAGTATAGTTACTTTTTCCAGTACATGTATTAATACTATTAGCCAAGTAGGACAAGACTCTCAAACTGGAAGAAGTAGCTGAATTTATGTAAAAATACAAAAAAACACACCTTATCCTGTTCATCCCTTTCTGGAACACTTACTGCAGTTAAGTAAACCTTTGTAAATACTTATGCAAGAGTGTGTAAATCCAAAACACAGCAGTATGCCAGCTACTAAGTAAGAAGAAAATTAACTCTATCCCAGCTGAAACCAGGACAGTATGTTACAGAGCAATAACTGAAGGTGGGTCCTAAATGGTGTCTGGCATGTGAGAAATTTAAAACTGTTATGTTAGTGTATAATTTATCAAGCTCCTGGAGCAAATGCATGTTGATATACTGTGGAATAAGTATTCGTTACAATTAGTGGAAGAACCTGTAAAAAGCATGAGGTAATGCCAACATGTTTCCAATGAGAAGCATGAGTTTGAGAGACTTCTTAACATAAGGTCATATCCTGCTGTGAGAGGGTAAAAGAGGGTGCTAGAGTAGAATTTCTTGCCAGTCCTGTTTCCTGTTTTAGCCTTACCTGCTTCATGTCCCTCTGAAGCACAGCATTTAAAGTAAGAGTAATTCAGAATATGGATAGTCTTAAAATGATGAGGCTCTTCCCCATCCACTTCTCTCTTCATTTGCTGCTGCAAAGCCCCTATATTTCCCTCCTATCTCATTAATTCTTTCACTTGATTACCAAAAAAGCATTCAGAGGGGGTGGCACATCAGTTTGAAACACATCTGCAGTAGAAACCAGAAGATATTCAGAGATGTCTGTGGAGTAGGCATGATGGCCCCACTAGTAACCCCTGAATACAGATGTTAGCTCAAGCTGTAGGAGCGCTCATAATCTCTCAAGCATAGTATTACTTTATAGGCACCGGAGGTCTCTGGAGTTTTCTGATCATTCCACTGGGAATGTAGCCGTTTTTTTGTTTTCAAAGGATCCTGAACGGATGTACGACAGGAAATAGAAAAGTGCTGAAATCTTTCTTTTTGAAATCAGTCTTGCACAAGAGCTAAATACGCCCTTAAGGTGACACAGTTTTGTAAAGGCTCTGGGTGTCCGTGGATATGTGCTCACGCTGCAGTTTGCTCAGGGCTTCTCCTGCTGTGTCTCTTATGCCAGCTGGCAGTGCTGTCAGCTCTGCTGAGCCGTGGATGTTGAGCTTGACTCCTCCTGACTTGCGCTCTTTCTGTCCTGGTCTGCTTGAAGAAGGAAACAAAAATGTACAGGCATTTTAGAGAGACTTTCTTTTTTCATCACCTTTCTTTAAAATTACCACCTTCATTTGTTTCTGTGCCTTTGAAGGAGTCTCAAGACTGCATCTTCATTTAGGTATTTATTCTGGGGAGTATTTGAATAGTTCCGATTTTGATGAGTTTTAAATTAAGGGATCTAAGGATGTATCTTGAAGAAGTCATTGCAGTTTAAAAGGCTTTGTGCAAAGAATGCTGTCTTCCCAAAAGCACCGCAGATGTGGAACTGGTTCTGTGTAATCAATACTCTGTCCCTTGCTGTTTACCCTTTACACCCTGAGCGTAGCTGTATGGCTTCCAAATACAGGCAGTTAACTCCTTCTGCTCTCCCCATCCCCAGCTCATTCCCTGTGGCTCACACTAACACGGCTTTGCTGGCATCCCCGGTGAGAAATGGCAGGGTAGACTTGCTGGCAAGGGTTGGACCACTGTGTTTGATTATTCTGAAGGGGCCAGCCGGAGAACTGTGGTGCCAGCAGCTGCCTCTGCCTTATCTATCTTTGGTTTTTCCTACTGCTGCTGAGAGTGAACAGGGAAGGAGCTGTCCTCCCACAAAATTGTGTGTGGGCATGACTCTTACCATATGCTGTATGTAGATGTATATTCCCCTCCTTGTCCCGTGCTCCAGTACTGTGTTCTTATCACTGGCTGATCTGCACACTTTACCAGCATAGATATATTCCAGCAGTCATCCAAATCCACTTTCCCACAAAAATGTTTTCTTCACTGCTTTCTAGGATCTGTAAACTGCTTAAGATGGTGCTGTTATCTATTAGAAAGTGTAGAAATACTAGAAAAGAGTCTTTTTCTAGTTCCCTTCTGAAACAAGTGCCTTTCAATAGCAGTGTGGCATTTAGTGAAACTTGGGGCCTGGCTTCACTTGCTCAGAAAGGTGTGCTGAGGAAACACCTCTGCCAGCCAGTTTGCAGGAGAAGGGAAGGATTGGCCGGCAAGGTATTTGCAGGTGGCTTTTCTTTAGCACCTGCTGTGACAGCAGGGTATAGCTATATGCAGAATATGCTCCTGAACCTACGTCAGTTGCAAGTAGAGCAGCGGCAGCTCTTGCAGAGGGCTGCCATTCTGGCCTGTGGGGTTGAGATTGACACAGCTGTGTTGCAGACGAGTGCTTTAGGCCTCGGCCTCCTGGATTTATTCTCATGTGCCTACTAATCTATATAGTTGTTACGTCATGATGGCAGGTCAGCAAAATCCCCCGCCTCCTATCTTGGGCCACAAAATAGTGACACACTTACGTGCACTGCTCTGCTCATGGTTATGACAGTAGCATTCCACTTTGCTCTTTGCAGCATGGAGCTGATCCAACAAAAAAGAATCGAGATGGGAACACTCCTCTAGATTTGGTGAAAGAAGGAGACACAGATATCCAGGACTTACTGCGAGGAGACGCTGCCTTGCTAGATGCTGCCAAGAAGGGGTGCCTGGCACGAGTGCAGAAGCTATGTACTCAAGAAAATATAAATTGCAGAGACACCCAGGGAAGAAATTCAACACCGCTACATCTTGCAGGTGGGTGACTCACCAGGTTTTGAAGGCTTCTATATTTATGATAGGGCTACACAGGTTAATCACCAAAACCAGGATTGGTATAGTAAGAGTTTCACAGAGGATTGTCCTGTACAGAGAGTTGTTAACTATGGCAGCTGTATTTCAGGAGGTAATATGGTTACTAGGAAAGAGGAGCTTTTGCAGTCAAAAAATTGCTTTAGCTTTTCTGTCTAATAATTTTTCTTTAGTTTAGCTCTCCTAATACCCAATTTCTCTTCTGTGCCTTTTCTACAGCTGGTTACAACAATTTGGAAGTAGCTGAATACCTTCTTGAGCATGGTGCTGATGTTAATGCCCAGGACAAAGGAGGATTAATCCCCCTACACAATGCAGCATCCTATGGGGTAGGTGCAGGCATTCTTGCCATGAGTAGACCAACAAGGAACTCCTTAAAGTCATATCCAAAGCCAGTTATTTTGCAGCTGTCTTGCTGTGAACATAATTCAGGTTTTGATGGCATGAAATACTTGTTGGGTTAAGCTGCTGTTGTGAGTCCTCTTTGCAGTCCTACAGATCTAAATAAGACACAGATTCAGGTGTGCTGTAGCAGTTAAAAGCTGTGGTTTGGAAAGATCACTAGAACATAGCTTTTATGTAGGCAAGCAGATGCACAGCATTGAACGGTGTTAAATTTGGGGTGACTACTGAAACAGAAAAGACCTCAAGTTGTCACTGAAAGACTCGGATGGAAAGAAGAGAAAAATACCAGGGGATCATGTCTAGGTGATGACAGGGAAGTGGAGGTCTGTTACAACTGATCTCTGGTGGGGAGCTATTGCTAAAGCTGAAGTATTGAAGGGCTACTTAGTTTGTAGTATGGGTGTCCTCCTGGGCAAGCTGTCTGCTGCAGTGAGGTTGCAGTGGCTGATTCAAACCATTTTGGATGAGGCAGGCCCTCCTTCCTCCACATAGGAGGAAGCATCTATGTGCATGCCAGTTGCACAGATGCCTGATAGATCGCTTATAAGCAGCTGTTAATTGTGGATGAGGTAAGAAAGAAATCTCTTGCAAATAATTGTACAGAGACAGTGCTTGAGAAGCTCCTGGCAGTGAGCTTATGGTCAGACAGAGGACATGAAGCTCAAGAAGTAGTGTTTTTGATGGTCTCATGATATGCTTTGTCTGTTATTACGTGGCCCTGGCACAAGAAGAGCAAAATCTGGGAGAGATGATCGTAGTAGAACCACAATTGCTTTCATTTGAGAGCCAAATAAAATAAAAAGTACAGTGTTCACCTTGTTTTTAAGGAGAGCGTATCAATGAAACTCAGCCTGCATCATTTGCGTTGGTTCTCTACATCAGTCTGGGATCCCGGTATCCTAAAGAGAATAAAGCTTCAAATCCTGCTTAAGGTTTAGAAATGCAACGCAGAATTCTTTTATGATACTGGGTCCCAATACCAAGCAATATTGTTCATCAGCATCTGCCATAAGTATTAAATTCCCAGGATGTTGCTTAGATCTAGAGATATATTCTGTTGCCATGATTGTGTTCATTCTTTTCAAGCACGGGAAACCAAAACACACATTTTATGTGAAGGCAAAACATTCCTTACTGGCATGGGGAAATGGTAGAGATTGGTTCAAGCTGGTTATCACTTAAAAAAATTATAATGCCAATCTAGTCTGGTTGCCTTAGTTTCTCTAGGAGAAGTTAATGAGGCAGTATTTGGTGATTTTCCATCAACTTATTTAGTTAAGAGTTGCTGTATACCTTTCCTGTGGCAGGCCGCACTTATCTCTGAGCTGTCATCAGCCCGTTCAGATCTCTGTGATGGGAGGTAGAGAAGAAATGAGTACTGGTTTCACAAGCTCATAGCTGGCAGGTTTCACAGGCTCAACCTTTTCCTCACAAAGTATCTTCAGTTCTCCCACCCAGCACTTCATGCTGCGTGTCCCTCAGTAGGGTTTCATGGGGCAGTAAAGTCACAGGAACAGCAAATGCTTTAAAAGTTTGGCAGAGAGAAAAAATAAGGTCGGCAGTCTTTTCAAACCACACTTATTCAGAGAGCAAGCCCTTTTATGAGAGCTACTGAGAGTCACTTAATTGCTATTGAGAGGAAAAATGAAATCCATTGGCAAGTCTTTGCACTTCTGCTTACAATTTCAGTGTTTCACGCTCCTATCTACTCATTTTGACTACCTGCTTTTTTTATTTCTTAGCTGTATTGCACAAGTAATTTTACTGGTCAGAGGCAGCCAAAAATTTTATTTGCCAGTTTTCTTATTTCAACTTGGGAGACTTTGAGGATGGGATATTTATTGAAGCGTGGGGTTATAAGATCATTACTTTTATAGCCCATGTAAAACAGTTGTCCCTTATGACACTCATAATGCGTTTTATCAGTTACAGTTCTCTCGTAAAATATGATTGGAGAAAGAACAAATTTGTGCTGCCACAGATGGGTTCAAAGTCTTGCAAGAAATGGCAAGAAAAAAATAAAGTGCAGCGAAAACTTCTGTGTACAGACATTTAAGCGGTGGCTCAGCAGTACAACGCATTGATCTTTAGAGCTTCTAGTATCATATCACAAATGTTGCAGCCCTGTAAATTTGTGTTGCCAGTTCAAATTTTTCTACAAATATTTTGACAGTTAACTCTTACCAGTTTTATGCTGTATCAAGTATCATGTCTGCTCCTGCAGCTGACACAAACTTCATGCTATGTACTTGGGGTGATTTGGCAGAAACACAATTCTGTGCCTGATGCCAATTATACATGTGCTGGTGGATCATCTGGTAGGGCACAGATAGAGATGACCGTGGAGCTGCAGTATAAAGTGGTACCTGAAGAGGTGTGCTGCTACATAGACACAGGAAGCAGAGAAGTGAGTTAAAGGAAAGAGAAATTACAGGGGCCTCTAAGCACCATTGCCTCCAGCACGAAAAAGGAAATAACGTGTTTTACCACTGTCATGTTGATTAAGACGTTCTTGTGTTTTCCAGCATGTGGATATAGCAGCGCTGTTGATCAAGTACAATACATGCGTAAATGCAACAGATAAATGGGCATTCACACCATTGCATGAAGCTGCACAAAAAGGAAGGACACAGCTCTGTGCTCTGCTGTTAGCTCATGGAGCAGATCCAACCATGAAGAATCAAGAGGGTCAGACACCACTGGACCTGGCAACAGTAAGTTCATGTTAGCGTGCCAGCCAGAGGCTGCTCTGGAGGATTTGCTCTGCATATTAAATGGCTTTCTATGGCTTCATGGCATCAGCAGTCCTCAGCTTTCACTGTGCTGAGGTAGAGGTAGATGAGCATCTCCAGGGTGCCTGTTTGTGACTTTTTACCCATGGGTCCAGGCTTTTTCCTTTGTCTGAGACCTTAACGTGGCTTGTGATTTAAGGTTTGCTTCTGCTTTTAAGGATTCACTCCTGGGATCAGTCTCCTCATTGCCAGAAATAAACCTCTCTGAAATGTCCCCGATGATAGTCAATCTGTGTACTGTTGGTGATGATTTCTTTGAACCTAGGAGGAAAATCAGATGGGCCTTTAGAGGAATGGGATCATTTAGAGGATGAATATGCTCAGTGCCTGCATATTACCTCAGTTCTTTTTTTTGTCTAACTCCAAAACAATTTTCTAAGATTTGCAGGTGGCTATCAAACTTTTTCTATAACTGGCATCCAGAAACTTTCTTGTTAGTGGCGGCAGTGGCGGCTGGTTAAACACCTAATAAGGTTACATGAACTTGTATGTCTCAGGTTAACCAGTCTTGATGGAATAGATAATGCAACCAAATTGAATGCTGTGTCTGGTTATAGTGCAAGTATCTTTGAAGGCCATTGATTTATGGAGAGTTCAAGAAATATCCTCCAGAATAATCTGAGCTCTAGAAAACTTGCTTTCTGGTGAGGGATATGAAAACTATTTGATTTCTCTGGGGGAAAATAAGCATGTCTTAATCATGTTCTACCAGAACATGCAAGGAGGAAATTCTTGAACATGAGGGTCCTACTTAATTTAGTCAACAAAGGCTAAATCCAATTGTTAGCTAAGTTCATACTTATCCTGTAGCTCCTGTCTTTTTTTTTTTTTTTTTTTTCTATTATAACACTATAAGATGTGATTATAGCAAAGGCAGTGGTAGTCTTTCCATTGAAACCTTGATCCAGAGCACAATACTTCACCAGAAGTTGAGCCTGACAGAGGAATTATGAGGTGACATTGCCTGGCTTAGGTTGTGAAGGATTTCAGATAGAGTTGCTGCATTGCTCTTCCTGGCTTTAACACCTATAAAGTCATTCTGCCAGAAAGGAAATTAGATGTACCTTCTTATATACCTTTAGAAATGCGGAGAACCCGATTCACCTATGTCTGAGCAGTGAATCAGAATGTTCTTGCAACCATGAATTCCATGTTACAAAAGTTGGCAGTATTCTTTTTAATGGGGGAAGAGAGCAATCAATTAAAACATATTCAAAGAAAAATTCTTTACAGAGATTGGTGACTTGTGATAATAGAACCTCATGTTGAATGTTCTTTCTGTTTTTCAGGCTGATGACATCCGAGCTTTGCTGATAGATGCGATGCCTCCAGAAGCTTTGCCTACATGCTTTAAGCCTCAAGCTACTGTTGTTAGTGCCTCCCTGATCTCACCAGCATCTACGCCGTCCTGCCTCTCCGCTGCCAGCAGTATAGATAACCTCACTGGGCCGCTGGCAGAACTAGCTGTAGGAGGGGCATCAAATGCTGGTGATGGAGCAGCAGGAACTGAAAGGAAGGAAGGAGAAGGTGCATTTGCTGCTGGACAAGTTTACATTGCCAGAAGTACAGTAGCTTAGTATCACAATAGGCCTTGCTTTATCTGAAAAGGATTTCTGACTAGCCAGAAAATACTGTACAGCTTGAACTGTTATCTATGTTTTAAAGTCTCTGATGCTTGCTCTCTTTTCTTATGCTCTGCTAGGAGCATTGTTGGCTCGTCATCTATGTTTGCTGTCAGCAATTAGGTCTGACTACAAAGGCAGATCTGATTAGGTGCCCAGATGTTTGCTGTTGATTTTATACAGAAAATCCAATGAGAATTATTTTGATGAAGGAATTAAGATTGTGATGGCCGGGGGATTTTGCTAAGGCTTTTTAAACAGCATCTAGGTGATTACATAGCAAAAATACACCCACCCTTCCTTTCCTTCTCTTTGCAATACGAGCCTGTATTTGCCACAGATGGTTTATGCTTTTTAATAGTTGATTCTGAGGAGGGAACAGTGGAAGTGGATTGTTTATTAGAGACATAGACAAATTGATTGTAAAAATAATCAGAGTTTGAAATTTTGAGAGAATCAGTGGTATTGCTTGGGTTTTGTTGGGTTTTTGTTTTTTGGGTTTTTGTTTTTGTTTTTTTTTTTAAATTCAGTTGCATAGGATATAATGACTTGTTTCTTCTCTTATAGTTTCTGGTCTTGACATGAACATTACCCAGTTCCTAAAAAGCTTGGGTCTTGAACACCTTCGGGACATCTTTGAGACAGAACAGGTAAGTGGCAAGTCTCATCTCTGTGTGGATGTTTAAAAGATAGAATAATCTAATAAATTTGAGTGACATTTTCATTCTCTAATTGAAAAAGGGAAACAAAAAAACCCAACTTCACATCTACAGAAAAACAAGTATGTCCAAGAAAACTGCAGATGGATCGCCAGATACTTTATGGTGAAGCTGAGAAACCTGTGAAAATCTCTTTTGTTGTTTAATTCAGATATCCAGTGTCTTTCACTTTTATACATACTAGATGACTGCCAATTTGGCTTGTATTCCGAGAGTTACATTGGACCTTGTGAACTTTGAACATGATGGCTATAATAAAGTTAGGTTGGAATGCTACCTGCACTTGTCCTTCAGCAGTCTTGATATCCAAACAAGCCTTTTGCCATCTGTAGTGCTGCATGTGACACTTGGGTTAGACCTAGGAAACCCTCCAGCTTGACGATAAGCTGAAATAAAAATCCAGTTCACCAGGGTGTAGTCACACTAGAGAATGCAGAAACTGCATTTCCTAACAGGTTAGGACTATAGTATTAACTGGGTTTTGCAGGGCTAGCAAATTTCAAATGGAATTGAGAGATGGGGAAAAAAACCCTGCGGTTTTATCAATAATTTACAATATATGAAAAGAATATAACTAATGTAACAGTTTGTCAAACTTACGTTACTTTTTAGAGCAGAAGTACCTCTAATGCATTTGTAGACTCTTTTTATGTACCGTTTCTTAAATTTAACGTGTTACAGTTAAATAGATTATTTGTTCATATGAGCGAGATGGACACAGTGGTAGAAATGAAAGGTACAATTGCAAGAGGCTGGATTTAATGGTTATTTTTTTCCCCAGGCTTCTGCTGCTAATCTTTTATGAAGGGTCAGGCAACAAACGTTTGAAATGTAATGTGTTGCTTACAAAAAAGTTCCAACTGTTTCCATGAAACGATACAGGAGGTATCTCCCCAAAGTTAAAATGCCATATAATCTTTTTTCCCTTCTTATATACGAAGCATAAGCTCTTTTCTTTAATTTGGAAGTGCTATTAAGAAGCAAACCAACCTCAAACCAACCTATATTCTACTCACATTTCTTTTTTACTTTTGCTTCCTTAACTCCTAACCTGTTTTTAAGATCTTCCCCTGCTAATAAGATTTAATAATGCAAATTGGATTCACTGTATTCATTATTATTTTGAAACTGTTTAGCCCCTCTTTTGAGTTTCTTTCTAGTGAAAACAAGTTCACCTTCCTTAAGCTTATTGTTTTAAGCTGCTTTTTCCAAGCACTGCAGTGCCTCCATGTGCACTTTCTCACCTTGACTCTAGCCTCCTCCTGATGCTTTCTAATATCTGGGTTTCTTCTGTATTTTTTTTTAATGTTCTGCTGCACGTGATGAATGTCTTCAGTGGCTTTTCCACAGCAATCCCAGTAGGGTTGTTTTCTGCTCAATTGGACAGATGTTCAGTGTAGCTATTAATTCCTTGCTTGAGTTGCTTTCTTTTGAATTAATGATATCCAGTTTGTAGTGGACTGAGTTCATACCTGCAAGTCCAGTTGTGCTAACAATACAGCTTCTTTTGAATCAAGTTGCACGATTTCCCATTATTTGCTGAGCTTCCCATTCTAATTTAATGTGTAAATTTGGAAGTAGATTTTATATAATTATCTCTTCCAGATGAAATATTTCTGTTTTGCTCAGAATCACCTCAGTGTACCATTGCTTTATAGTGATAAAAATATGTACCTTTACTTAGCCTTTATCTCCTGTTCTTTAAAAAAATGTTTATTTGACATCATGTTTTATTACCTTTCTGCTTCCACCAATGATCTCCATGACCTTGAAATTTAAAACCTTATCAAGTGATTGTAGATGTATTCATATATGGCAACCAACTGATGAGTTATATGTGTCCTCCAATGTCAATTATTTCCAAAAATAGTGAAATAGTTGAGCATGACTGAGCATAGCTGACACACTGGTTTGATACACATCCAAGTGCACACATGGATATATACACACAGTAACAGCATGCACCATAATAATGTTGATGTGAAGCACACTTAACATTTATTAGTAAGCTTATAGAATATTCGTTTCTGTTTGTGTAGTGAAAATAATGAATTGCACAACAATGTGAAACTTTGCTTCAAAAATATTCCCAGGTTTGTCCCAGCATTTGCATGCATCCTCCTTCTACATAAATAAAAATGTTTTTGACAACCTCCTGTGAGAACCACCTCTTTTTAACTACTGTAAGAGAAGTAAAAGTTTTGCACAGCTTCAGGCTGTAGCAGCTGGGTATGGCCCTGTGGTAGGGAGAGGCTTGCCAGAAGGTGGCAGCAATTAGAAGTGCAGGAAACCATAAAATATATACGCTGTCTTGGTTGCACCATGAATACCTTCCATTTTCTGAACTGACGGGTCTTCAGCCTTGGGAATCAGGCCAGGTTTGGCAAGTGATTTTTGTGGTCTTTCACCTCTCCAGATAACCCTGGATGTGTTGGCAGACATGGGGCATGAGGAGCTTAAAGAAATTGGGATCAATGCTTACGGACACCGCCACAAATTAATAAAAGGTGTGGAGAGACTTCTAGGAGGGCAGCAAGGTAAATATGACACTTTTACTGCTTAGTCTAAGTGTAGCATACAACAGGCTCCCAGCAGTCACCTTCTGTAAATGTAGGCATTGTCACCAGGACTTGAAAGAATCCAGATGTCAGGAAAATGCACTTACTGGCAGACCTGGTGGCTGGGTGGCTTGCGACAGGTAAAGAATATATTGAGGAGATACAGGACTGAGTAATCACTTGCCTTTCCAGAGAATGGACATCCCTGAGGCAGCTGTGGAGGCTGTGCCCTTTTCCAGGGACTCTGTTTCACCCAGACGTACCTACCCACAGGCCAGTTGTATCCTGAAGTGTGGACCTGATGGAGTTTTTTGCTGCCCCACACTTCTCAGATGCTTCTCTTGAAAGCAGAAACAATAAAACGCAGTTATGTCCCACATGCATTTTCCTTCTCTCTTTTAAAACCTCTGCTGCTAACGAAAGCACTTCATTTTTTCAAGGTTTTGCTTCTGCCTTGTGTTTATTTTGCATTTCCTGCTGTACTGGGGTTATTTAAGAAGAATAACGATGATGCTGGATACAAATAGAGCTGGTATTGTTTTCTCCTGTTGATTTTCATTCCTTTATTTCCTTCTCTTTGCAGGCACCAATCCTTATTTGACTTTCCACTGTGTGAGTCAGGGGACCATTCTCCTTGACCTTGCTCCTGACGATAAGGAGTATCAGTCTGTAGAAGAGGAGGTATTGCAAGTACCTTTCTTAATGCTCCAGTGGCAGTGTATTTCTCTTTTCATTTATAATCCCTCACAGCTAAAGCAAGCAATGCATGTTGAAAGTGATAAATTATGCTTTGGTGAATGAATTGCATAGATCTGACATGAAGTTTAGGGCTCTTCATTTGTCTTTTTATATAGAGCAATGATGGAAATTATTTTGCTGTGTCCTGCCAATTTTTTTTAATAAGTGGTCTGTTTGCTCACTTAGTGTTATCCCAATTTTGCCTTTTTGTTGTTGTGTTTTGGATGTCATCTCATAGCAAGGGTTTCCACAGCTTTCTGGAGATAGGTGGACCTGTGAAAATCAAAAGCCATGAGTGAAGACAAAGGGATCAAGGCCTTGCAAGTCTGTAGGCATTCCCTGTACTCAAGCTGTTTCTGCATGTGAACCAGCTTGTTTTCTCTTGTCTCAGTGGCTTAGTTAATCTGTAACCCAGATAAACAGCTCTTGGATAATTGAGAGTTGACTGTAATTTTGCCTCCCACACACAGATGCTCTTTTATTTAAGTAAACTACAAGCAGATACCATTTTGAAAGAAAAATCATAACAGAAAAGAGACTTTCTGAAGAGCTGTTTTTGGAAGAAACTCCATTTTACTGTGCATTTGCTATTTGTGTAGTGTTTCTACACTGTAGGACAAAAGCATTTGGAGTCTTTTTAAAAGTCTAGATATTCAGGATTGCTGCCAGTTTAGCCTGGAATATTATTGATTAGTAACTGTAAACTGGAGTTTGTGCAGATCTTTTGTATAAACTTTTCTGACAGAAAAGGTCATTTGTCTGCTATAGTAAATTGGGGTATTTATTTGAGCTGTTATTAGATGTTGTTGCTGTAGCTATAGATACCTCTGGAAAAGACAGGATGAAACTGTTGAAATTTTCAGGGGCTGCTAATGACATAGGAAAATTTACAGTGCAAGTATTTTCCTATCACTAAGAAATACAAACTGTACTCACTAGAAACATTTCTTATTCCTTGAAAAATGATCTTTTTGTATATTCATTTTCAAAGATTTTTTTTTTCTAATCTAAAGTAGGTTTTCTAGTTGTGTATAATTTTGATAGCAAGCACAACTATTCTCTCTTTTCCTATGTAGATTTTTATTACAAGATTGGATAATTGCATAATCCGACTTCTCTATTGTGGAACAGCATAGTGCGTTGGGTGCCTGAGAAATAAGGGTGTACCTCAGTTTAAAATTGAGTTGTGGGTTTGGTTTTTGGTTTTTTTTTTTTTTACACCTTTTAATTAACTTTCAATCAAGATTGTCTGTTGTTGCCAGGGATATACTGAGATAGTGCATGAATACTTGCCTTGCTAGCAAGCTTTGTGTGCTGAACATTCAGTTGTGTTCATGTATGTAGATGCAAAGTACAATCCGGGAGCATCGGGATGGTGGAAATGCTGGCGGAATTTTCAACAGGTACAATGTCATCAGGGTAAGTTTCAAAACCGCTTAATTCTGTGTTGTAAAATAAGTTGGTACTTAAGCAAGCAGCCAGAATTGGTTTAATGGATCACTTTTTTTATATTTAAAGTTCTTTTTTGAAATAATACTCAGAGGCCGAGTTAAAGCAAGTGCTAAATACTAAAATTGGACTGATAGTGTGCTCTGCACATGGAATGAGGGAGAAGTATCCACTTGTACTCTTAAAGGAGTCTGAAGAACTGATATTGAAGACAGAATTAGTGAAGAGCCTGACTTATGTTTCACAGCCTGATTTAATTTCAGAGATCTGTAACTTCTGTATTTGACTTTGCAGCACAGATTTTTTTCTCAGTGTAGTCTTTTGCCTTTTTAAAGGAGATTTTTGGGGAGGCGGAAAGGATGAGCATGATTTTTTATTAAAAGTTTCTATCTCCCTATGCTACTTTGGATCTTGACACCTTCTTCTTTGCCCCTGCCAACTAGAAAAACACCTTTTACAAGCCCTGGCATATCAGAAAATGGAATGTTGTCTTTCTGAGGGAAAGTACGCTTTCTGGTTCCTTTTTTGGGGGGAGGAGGAAATGAAGGAAATCAGAACAGAACTCAGTTCCTGAGCTCTAGCAGACCCCTGCTGTAATCTGTTTGAAAAGAGAGCCTGGGCAGAGCCTTTGCAACTTGGCCCAGTAGATCATATGTCCTGAAGCAAACTTTGCTTCCAACCTACTCTTAACCAAAGGTGAAGTCCTTTACACAAACCACAGTGGTGTTAGAGCATGTGTCTGGAACGATATCTCAAGACAGATTGAACAGCACGTCTCCTAATTTCGTTCCTCAGAAGTTGTTTCTTTTCATAAAAATTCAACCTAAACCAGACAGCAAGCTTCAAAAAGCTAGCCCAGATTGTTCAACAGAGGTCAAGGCAGAGAAGGAAGGAGTTTCAGTCAGTTTGTAGTTCTTGGTGGTATTACAGGCTCTGAGGGAAGCAGCCTGAAAGTCTTGCTTAAACCTGAGAATTTAGGCTGCAATTTCACACTAGTTTTAACCATCTGTAACATGTGCTACTGACTTGTTTGAAAGGCTTCAGCCTTGCGTGCAGAACAGCCATGGGGTTTCTTTGTGCCATTCATGTGTCTTACTCTTAGTTTCCCTGTCAAATTTATGCAAACTCTGTGAAACTATGTTCCATTTCAATTCCAACTGAAGTATGGTTGGACCTGTTGTACTACTGCAGATTCAAAAGGTCGTGAACAAGAAGTTGCGGGAAAGATTCTGTCACAGACAGAAGGAGGTCTCAGAGGAGAATCATAATCATCACAATGAACGCATGTTGTTTCATGGTAAGGAAGTGATCTCTATATGTATGTACTGGTATTTTAAAAAAAAAAAAGCTTACAAGGACTCCAGGCGATGATAATGTTACTGTGTCACCATCCTGTACAGTAATTGTATTTCTACACTAGAAATGCAGGGGTGTGGGGGTGGTGGAGTTAGTCTGTGTGGTTACTGCAATCTGAAAAGCTACACTAGATAAAAATATATTTTTTAAAAAAAAGGAAAAAAAAAAAGTTTTTTGCTAAGCCATATCTTAGTCATTTCCAGTAAAGCTGCTGGGAGGATGTTGCATTTCTGTGAGAAAGACAGACTATCTTCTAAAAGAGGGGAGCAGCACACAGTAAAAGCGTTTTACCCTGGCACTTCAGGCAACCATCAGGGAAAGGAATCAAAAGCAACCATGAGTTTCAGCAAGATGTTCTCTAGAAGCATCCAGAAGTGCCTACAAATGACAGTCGCCTGAGGGTCCTCCTGCCCTAGGTCCTTCTGTGATTCTGTGGAGGAAATTGGTTTGGGGTATGATTGTCCTGACATCTTGCCCCATCTTAACCAGTACTGACTGCTGGAGAAGGTGTGCATTGACAAGATAAATTGCTCTGAAATATGAGTGGGGGGAAAGCCATTTAATGAGATCTGTGAAATGAATAAGAAATATGAGTCACATGTGGGATCTTGGTATATAACGATAAATCCCACACATCACTGCATCCTGCTGGGTATCGCCCCCTTCCAGCTGACTGAGCACGCTTTCTGGTATTTAATGGTCTATTTGAGGCAAACAAGCTCCTCTTGACATAGAATCCTGTATTACTATAGAGCTTAACAAGTATGTATGATAACACATCATTTCATGTCATTCTGTTCTAGGGTCTCCTTTTATTAATGCTATCATTCACAAAGGATTTGATGAAAGGCATGCATACATTGGAGGAATGTTTGGAGCTGGAATTTACTTTGCCGAGAACTCCTCAAAAAGCAACCAGTATGTGTATGGGATAGGGGGAGGAACAGGCTGTCCCACGCACAAAGACAGGTCCTGTTACATCTGCCACAGGTATGAGTCCAGCAGAGTTCCCTATGCGTAATTCTGGCTGTGCTGGTTTTTACGATCCTGGCACAGGATGAATTGCAGGGAAAGAATAGCCACTTGAGCTTGGTCATGGCAGGAAAAATGCAGTTTTCCATTTGTCAAGGCTGAACAGAAAAGGATATAAATGCAGCGAGTCCCACAGAAAGGTCAAAAATTACATCTAAGCATACAGTGAGTATAAATCAAAGTGAATTGTGGCTCAGGAAAGAGGCTTGAAACAGCAAGTTTGAAAATGAAGAGTCAGAGGAAAATAGCAATTAAACTCCAGGCACTCTCAGAACAAAACTGCAGTGCAAAGTGGTGGTCAGCCGTACAGTGTTGTACTATGGATCAGATAATTTTGGAGGTAGTGAACAGGACTTAATAACACCTTTGTTTTGTACTGGAGTAGATCAATGTGATTTTTGCACTTTGACACTTGTCCGTACCCTGCTGGTAGGAACACAGAGAGAGATCAGCTTCTTTCAACAGCTTTATATAAAATGAACTAGAACAGGCCTCCATGTGATGGCTAAACAAAGTGTGTGTTTTCCCTTCTGCATGTCAAGAAAGATTTTTTTTTTTTTGTGACAGGTTTTATACAGCCTTAGAACTGGTTTCTAAAAGTGTTTCTCCAAAAAGCCTTGAGAAATTAATTGTGACAAAATAAACTCAAAAGTCTGAAATCATTCTGGAAGAATACAACTCCTAGTAAGATATTTTAAAATGATGTTTTTCTTTTTTTGCTTTTAGACAAATGCTCTTCTGTAGAGTGACCCTTGGAAAATCCTTTCTTCAGTTCAGCACAATGAAAATGGCTCATGCCCCTCCAGGGCACCATTCTGTTATTGGCCGGCCAAGCGTGAATGGACTTGCATACGCTGAATATGTTATCTATAGAGGAGAACAGGTATGTGAATTAGCGAGGACTGGGTTTATGGAAGGGCAAATCTTGGAGCTGCAGAGGGGATGTGACTGGTTTCCATACCAGGTGTGCTGTGATAGCCTGGTTGGTTAGATTTGTTTCATTTAATGTAGAAATAAACAGTGAACTGTATCAAGCCAGCAAATGCTCCTCCTTTCCACTGAGCTGCCCTGATTTACATGATGCAGAATTGCCTAATTCCCCCGGTGCAGCACTGCTAGAGTCTGTTAAGTGTTGTTTCTCTCAGGAGGCACTGGTTCTCCCATTGCATTTTACTGGCATTGCTGCAGTAACAAGAACACATGCATTTCTGGGGCTCTTGTAGATAATGAGAATTCTGGGCTTTTAACTTGCAGATTCACAGCAACGACAGTGTCCCTGTCTGCCAGAGACTACCCTTAAATGGCAGCTGAAGTAGCATAACAATCTTCAGGAGGTGATTTTTAATCTGAATAACTCAGCTAGACCCTTACTCTAGAAAAGTAGTTTGCTTACTACTCTGGATGGCTCCAAGATTATATAATAAATTCATGTTGGAAGGAACCTTAGGGAGGTCACCTAGACCAGCCTCTTGTTCATTCTGAATTCAGAGCAGATTGCTGAGGGCTTTCTTTGACAAGGCAGGTCTTGAAGGCCTTGGAGAATGGTGTTTCACAGCCTCTCTCAGCAGCTTGTTCCTTTGTTTAATTATCCTTAGAGCAAAAAACATGTTCTTTCTATCCAATAGGAACCTCCCCTGTTTTATTAATCTCATTCTCCTGCTGCGCAGCTCAGGAAATAATCTGGCTCTCTTTTCTCGGTAGCCTTCCATACATGATGGAAGATTGCTATGAGGTCCCACAAAGCCTTCCCTTTTCTGAACTGAACAAGCCCATCTCCCTCAGCCTCTTCTTGTTTATCCTGTGCTCTCTCCCCCTGACCATTTTATTGGTCCTTCGTGGAACTTAGCTCCAGCTTGTTGCCATTTTTCTTGTATTGGAGAGCCCAAAAGTTGTATGCAGTTGTCTAGATGTGATCTAGTGACTACTGAATAAATGGCAACCATCGCTACACTCAGTTGACTGGCTACACTGTTGTTGATGTACCACAGGATGCTGATAGTCTTTATTACTGCCAGGACACGGTGTTGATTCTGCTTTAGCTTGCTGTCACCCAAGGGCCCCCAGCACCTTTCAGCAGAGCTGCTTCCCATCCTGCAATGTTACAAGAAATTAGTACATCCCAAGTGCATCTGCCCTTGCTGGATTTCATGAGGCTTCTGTTGGCCCGGTCTCCTCTCATCTGTCTAGGTTCCTCTGAATGGGGCGCTGCCCTCCAGCAACGTTAGCTTTGTTCTAGGACTGAACCTCCTACCAGCTGTCTTGAGAAAATGCTGGACAGACACCTGGGTTACGTGCTTTGGGTGTGCCAAATATTTTACTGCCAGTAAAGGCATTTGCAGGTCACGTGGCAAGTCAGTGAGCATTTCAGGGTCAGACTACATTGATCATCTGAGATTTTTTCATAGCTTACAGGCACTGACTGATCTGTAGGATTAGCTAACAAGGAGAGCAACTCTGTGAATTCCTGTTGCACACACATTTTCTGGCAGTGTCTTCATGGAAGAAACATCTTCCTTTTTAGTAGTGTATTAACGAAGGTATTAACTACATTGAGCAGTTCCAATTTAGTGCTGGCTAGGTTTGAAATCTGCTTTTTCTTTTGCACTCCGCAAACATAGCGCTGATCCTTGCACTGTCCTTCCTGATCGCTGTTCAGTGAAATCCAAAATGTGAACTTGCTGAGCATACCCTTGCATAAAGCAATGTTATTTGTTTTTGTTTTTTTTTTTTCTTGACTTAACTTTCAGGCATACCCAGAATATCTCATTACATACCAGATTGTGAAACCAGAAGCTCCCTCACAGACAGCAACAGCAGCAGAGCAAAAGACCTAGTAGCTACAGAGCAGTGAAGAAGGATGTGACTTCAATCTTGGACTGGATGGATACATGTTTCAGAAAATCAGTATCATATAAAATCCTTAACAACCTGGAAATAAGCTGTATGTCTTTTATAAAGCATTGGTGTCTTGATGAATCCGATATGAGTAACTCTCGCATACTCAACTGCTACTGTTCCTTTTGAGGAAAGTTTACAAGGGACTGCCTTTTAATAACATATCTCAGGCTCCTAGTCTCTGCAGTTACTATGTGTAAAATAATGTTGTTTTGATCTAGACTTTGGGAACATTATTGTGCAAACGGAAATCTTTATCAATGCCATCTCACATGTTAAAATTTCAGACACTACTATTCTAGTTATTTTATTTGCAGATAAATTGCATTAAGCCCATAATTTTCTTTTCAGCATACACCATTCATTTTATGTTTTCAAGAGATCCTAGTCAACTATTTATTTTCCTTTTGTATTCTGAAGTTGAGCCAGAACCTTCTTAAAGATATTTTGCACAAAGTCGATTTGACTAAAATCATTAACAATGCAATATGAATTTCATCTGAGAAGGGGCTAGGTCCAGTTCTTCAATATAGGGGGGGTTTTTTTGCACACCTCTGAGCAAACAATGATATGAGTGAGTGTAACTTTAGAGTGGAAACAAATTGTGTCAGTTCACTGCTTTGTCTGAGTTTTCTGGCGGAAGCCCTAGGAAGTGTTCACAAGGGTAAAACCAGCTCTTGTGCTTCGAAGAACTTCATAAAGCAGGTCAATGCCCTCTGCTGGCATCTCTAAAAGAAAGTTTTATAAGGCTCCTATTAAGTACATGCAGTTTGTGAAATGGTCTCCAGTTACAGTGGTGTATGGTTTTGCTGGGAGATACAGGTGAAGAGTCAGAAGATTGCATACACGAGGGCATATCTGGTTCCTGTCCCTCTGTAATATGAGAGCCAGTAAATGGGTTTCAGACTGATAAGGGAGAGCGCATTATAGCAGTTTCATGTCACATTGTTGCGTGTGACATCACAGTTGAAGAGCTTAAGGGATTTACAAAAATAATAGTTTTTTTTAAATACCGATTTTTACATTTTTATGAGAACGAACTTTTAAAGCATCAGTTGGCAACTGGATTTGTTTGTAGGTGTACCACAGAACAAAGGTAGGATTTATTCGCTCTAATCCCCTTCCCCGCAAGTTCCCAGGTCTATTTCACTGGGTAGGAGAAAGTTGTTTTTAAGCATTGCATAGCACAGCATCAAACAATTTCAGAAGTCCCCCCTCATGGCAGATATGCGTTTAACAAAAGTAGAAACTGATTTCTTTTTTGCGTTGTTTTTACAACTTCAGAGAAGGCTGAAAATCGAGCCATGTTAATATTTTGCTTAACAACCAATACCAGGAGATATGCTTCAGTGTTGAGCATGTAACGACTGGAGAAAAAAAATGTTCCTTGAACACAACACGCTGTATGCTTCCCTATCAACCAGCACTATTTAGTATCTGATGATCCAGGTCAAGCATTCAGGTTTTATCCCCCTTAAAGCAAGGAAACGACAGAATAGTGTGCTTTTAGTTTACAAAAATATATGTGCTCCCCCCAAGTGGGATTTTGCTGACGTGTTTGGATAAAACAAACTTAAACCTGAACAGCTTTTCACTTTCAGTGTTAAGACACACAATTTTCATTCTTAACGTTAAGACATTAATGTTGAAGCAAGTTATCCTCGCAGAGGAACTTCACCCCCTGTAAAATCAGTCATTTGATGCCATCTGGCTACCTGCACATCATCTATTTGTAATATCTCTAAAGAAAACCTTAGAAATAGCAATACTCCAACAGATCTTGAACTTTGGGGTTTATTTTTCTTGAGCTGGCAATGGACATACGGTTCTCGCTTCATTGTGTGACCTGATTAAATATGTAGCTTCAAAGTCCAAGCCAGATGCTAGCCTAGTTGTCCTTTTAATCAAATTTCATTGATAAAATTGGGTGCTTGTATTTTGGCTACTTGTTTAATAGTGTTAGGATTGCAAAGATCACCACTAGGCTTTGAAGCTTTGTATTCATCATTTAAGTTTGGGGGTTGTTTTTAACTTAGTTAATAATGGAGTGGGGGGATGTGCCTATCTACACTAGGGTTTCAGATAGCCGTGAGAGTGTGTTGCTCACCATCCCCAGTTAGACATAGTTTTAAATGGTAAAACAGTTGTGCTGCTTAGGTGAGCAAAATGGTTAATGTGGAGGTGGAAGTTAAAAGCTTTACATCTTTCAAAAACAAGAACAAACCTAAAAACAAAAACCCCACCAAGCCCGCACCGGATTCTGTTCTTGCTGCTTGTTTCCTGTGTGCTGATTGAACTAATGGCTAGTCTGGATTTCTTCTGCAGCCTTGAACTTCTAGAGGATAAAAATACTGTCCAGTATCTTTGAACTGCCAGTGTTAATGTATCTGATGTTCTGTGCAGAGTAAAGGTGCTGTGTGAGGAAATCATTTTGCAGTGGTTTTTGTCTTGTAATGACATGATCTCCTATCCGTTTGTGGCCAGACACAGAGGAATACCCAGGCCTGATAAAGCCTCCGTGTGACATAGAAACCTGTGCAGGAGTAGCATCCTCCTCTCCGGGCGTTGTAGCTCCTCTTACTGTTTAAAACAAAGTGAGCATCTTCCCTTCAATTTCGAAGTTACCCATGAAAAAGCTGGTCATGGTTTTGGTGGTAGAGCTGCAGCTGGCAGGTCGTTACGGTACAGATGCTGCTGCTTTAGCTGAGGGAGTTAGCTTGATGCCTCCTAATTCTAGAAAATGGGACCTTAAAAATAGCACACCCCATAACTAGGCAGCTGCTGCCTTCTGAGAAATGAAGATTTTCGACTTGCTGAGAAGGGCAGCCCCCTGATAGTGGGATGCTCGTTTGCAGCATTGGGTCACCAATGGAGGCACGGTAGGAACCGAGGATGCAGGAACACACTGGGCTAAGCCGTCTCATAGGCTTGGGAGCCTGGGCACCCTCACTGGCTCCAGAAAGAGCTATTCCCACTGGGACAGAACGTGGCGTCTGCTGGGGAAAGGGACAGTTATCTTTCAGGACTGTTGATTTTTGTCCGTGTCCCTCTGAGGCAGCATTTTGAAATGGCTGTGCACTTTGTGACAGGACCTTAATAGGCAAAACAGAAAGAAACTTCACCATGTAGCAAAGCAGGGAGGGTTCTGCTCTCCATTGCTGAAATTGTTTCCATGAGACAGATGCATTAGGTACCTGGTGCAGAGTGACACTGCAGTCTGAATGCTGTCAGCAAAACTTCTGGTAGGATTAAAAGCAGAGAGTACAGTACCTTAATAAGGTATATCTTATTTTCTTATCCTTACTTTTATCTGCCAATCTGTTTTCATCCCAGCTCCATAGAGACTGTTACAAACCTCTTGTACTAGTTCCACCATTTTGCAGTCACTATTGGTCTGTAGTCCAAGGAACGAGCAATGTGTTTCTCTAACCTCTGTTTTAAATGTTTGCGTGTGATGCAATTGAATGAATTTATTTTCCCTGGAAACTGTTATGCTTTGCTTGTTGATAACAGGAGTACCCCAAAACAAAATTCTACACTGAAGCAAAAAGAAAGCCCTGCAAAATGTTGTCCACTGCTGGCTTTGGTGGGCAGCAGCCACAGAAAAGGCATGTGGTGTATGGGATGGAGTAGCTTCTGGAGAAGGGCGCTTCCTTGGCTGTGGAAACCAGCTGATCCTACTGTTTGTGGTAGGTCAGAGGAGATGTCTGCTCCCCGTGAATGTGTGAAGCGCTGGGGGATGCGAACATGTTGTGCCACTGCGTGGCCAGCAGGAACTACTTAAAGACAGCAGCAAATCTTCTCAAAAAAGGCTCCTGCATCCCTGCAGTGCAGTCAGAGCTCCTGCGCAATACATGCACTACCTGGAATTTCCACATGGGACTGTTAACAGAAATTACCCAGAACAGATTTTTTCAAAAGATGGGTAAAAGGAAGGGTCCAACCACAAAACAGATTAGCTTGAACGTTGCTAATCATTCTCAGAAGCTGAAGGTCAGGAAATGTGCAAATTTATTTTTAGTGGGATTTCTCCCTTTCCATGCTACTTTGCCACAGAAAACCTAGCTCAGGAATATAAAAGGAGATGCATCTAATGCGTGCTTCAGTCATTTTAAGCTATGTTGCAGCCCTGCTGGGGAAGACATTGGAAAGTACAGATTCAGTTCTAGCCTCAGGTAGCGAGTGGCTTGTGAACCTCTTGGCTTTGAATCCATTGATGGTCAGAGGTGGTGGCTTTGGGGCAGCCCAGAGCAGGCTCTCCTGACCTTCCAGAGAGCGGCAGGACACGTGCGCAGAAGTGGAGTGGCAGCGTTCCCACCTATCTGAACATATAATAGACATGAAACCTAGAGGGTCAGGGGACAGCATATGCGTCTTAAAACTTATGAAGCAAAGTGAATGAGCCCATAAATCAGTAGGAAACGCGAAAAAGAGATGCATTTCCCATTACACTAATGCATATGCCTGTCAGGTCGTATTACCTGACTGGTTTTGATGTGTCTATTTCTGTCTTACTGAACTTGTTGGTGGCAAGTTTTAGTGTTGGTTCCGTTAATTACTGATGGAGATGATTAGAGTCTCTATATTACAAGGTAATTTTGACACTTTCTTTTTAACATCTGCAGAACTTGCTTCAGCTTTGGCAATTGAACTGGGGATTTTTCTGTGCCACAGTCCCATGAGCTTGTACATCTTCATTCCTAATTGCTTTCTCTGCCAGCCCAGATGGCAGTGTACCTGGGGGCTGAGTTTTTAGACCTTTTTTTGTATAACTTGTTTTCATAACTAGCCCTGTATGTTTCCTCTCTTGGTTGCCAATTACCTGGAGCTGGGATATCATTTATTTATTTCCTCCTTTACCCTCTCTCTCAAAGAAGACGATGGGCAGGTTCTCAGCCTACCTACATGGTGGACTTTGGGTAACATCTCTGTAACAACCGAGTTTGATCTATAAATGTGCTTGGCTTAATGTCTGATCTGCAATACTTGTAATAGTTTAAAACTCAATAAATACATTTTTAACAGTTGCTCTGTGAAAGCGGAGTGTTTGCACAACCTGCTCTTTTGTCTTGGTCTTAGGACAAACCTGCTGCAGCCACAACTGTTGAAAACAGTTTTATTTTTATTTTCTCCAAACGATTTGTTTTCTCCCTCCCTCAGGCAATAAATAAAAAGTTAAGTTCTAAAAAAAAAAAGGAACAAAACCATACATATGTACATCAGCCACACAGGCATCTTGTGTGTTGGATTGGGCTGGGGGGAAGGAGAGAGGTAGGGTGGGAAATAAGGCTCCGGGTGGGTTGAAGATGAGGCATTTTCTAAGCCTGGACCAAAAGCTGCAGCGGTGTTGCACAGGTAAGCGAGACCCAGCTCAGCTGGAGCAGGACCAGTCATGGGGCGGAGGAAGTTTGAAACTGCTGGATGGATGACATCTCTGGGCCAGCCTCTCCTCCACCTGGCTGCTTCTCTCTTCCATTACAGCCCAACCACGTCCCATCCTGCTCCTTCTGGAAGAAGGGCAGCGGTGGGATGGGTGGGGAGGATACTGAACAGAGTAATCAAAAGCAGCCCAGACTGCTTCCACCACCCCTTCTTTCTCTAAGCCACAGGAGATTAAACCTCAGTCTTGCAGGAACCAGAGATCCACAGAGGCAAGAAAAGAGGCATTTAGGACTGCATCTCCCCCTCCAAACTGCCTCCCAGCCACAGAGATTGCTCCCCCCCCCCCCGGAATGGGCTCAGCTGGTGACTGGGCAGGTGCCTGCCAGCTCCTCCATCGCCTCCCCAGGCACCGGCAGGGGTGAGGGTGACTTGCAGGCAGCCCTGTGCCACCACTCCCGCTTGCCCCAGGGCCCTGCCTGCAGCTCTGCCCATCACCCAGTGGAACTGGCTCAGGTCAGCAGCACCCAGCCCTGTCTCTCTGTGCAAGGGGGGAAGGCTGCTGCACAATAAAAAAAAGGGCATGCTCCCTTTTCAACCCAGATGAGCTAGGGGCAGAAATACAGGGAGAAAGGGAGGTGTATCTTTTTTTTAAAAAACAAGACAATAAAATAGGGACAGAAAGAGATGAAGACCAGGCACTTGAGGAAACCCAGTATACTATTTTTTTCCTCCCCCAAAGAGCCTGGACAGTGTCGGGGTTTGTGGCTTTTACAACTTTCGTGCTTTCAAAACATAAAATTAAAAAGCAAAAAAACCAAGATGAGGTAAGAAATTTCTCTACGAAAAAGACGTTGAGTCCAGGGTGAACGGCAGTGTCCGGCACTATTGCTTAACATCACGGGGCTCCATGCCCACCTGCCCCCTCCACGCCTGGCACTATCTGCTTGGCTGGCCTCAGCCCCTGAGCTAACAGCTGGGCGACATGGTGATGGGGCTGTGCAGGTACGGGAGGCTGCTGGGGGTGGCATGGACACCAACAGAGACTGGGAAGCTGAAGACAAACTGGGAGGTGGGGGTGGAGGTGGCCTTGCCCCGCTCCCGCAGTGTCCCCGAGGGGCTGACAGCTTCCACTGCGCATGAGGTGGCCAACACCTGCGACTCAAACTGCAGCAGCTGCCCCATGAAGCTGAAGTTAGGGGAGATGATGCTCCGGCGCTGCTTGACGAACTCAAAGGCCTCCTCCAGCTTGACACGCTTCTTCATCATCAGGTAAGCCAAGCAGATGGTGGCGGAGCGGGAGATACCAGCCTGGCAGTGGACTAGGACCCGGCCACAACACTCCTTCACCGAGTCTGGAGGGCAACAGGGGATGAGACGTGAGACCAATGCCCTTCCAACAAAGCACAGCCCCGCGCCAAAGCTGCAGGTGGTGGCTGGCCTCCCTCCCACCAGTGCGACAAATGGCCTGGAGTCTGCTGGACCCCAGTCCCCTCTGAGCCAAAGGCTCCAGGTCTTTGAGGCAGGAACCTCATCCCCGGTGAAACACACACGGACACAGCTCCTCTGCACAGGCACTCACCGATGTACTCGATTGCCTCCATGAACCAGGAGCTGATGTCAGCTTTGTGGTTATCCTCCACAGGGATACACTTGTACTGGTAGTGCCCCTCGAAGTGGTTGGGGCAGTCTGAGGAGACGTTCAGCAGGGCTGGGATGCCCAGGGCATCAAGCATGTCCCGCCGGGCGGCGTGGTAGGCGCTGCCAAGGTAGAGGAAGGGAAGGATTTCCACAGGGCCACCCTGTTACAGAGAAAAACAACAGATATGGGGGTGACCAGGGGACAGCAGTGGACACGACATGCATCCAGAAGGCTTGGAGGCCCTGAGCAGTGCAGGAACCTGGCACCTGATCCAGGGCCCTCAAAAGAGGGGGCAGAAGCTGCCTTTCTGAGCTATTAAACCCATTTCAGCCCCCTCTCTCTTCATCCCATTCAGGAACGAGCAGGTGTGGTTAATGGGATTTGGGCCTGTCCGCTCCCCAGGGAGCACAAACACCCTGGGGTCAGGAGGACCACCACGCTCTCCCATGAGAGGAAAGGGAGCAGGGCTCTGGAGGCCTCAGCTGAGGGAGAGCAGAGGGACTCCAGCAGGACCAGGCTGCAATGCTGGAAGGAGCAGTCAAAATAGCTGAGCACTGGGCTTCTAGACATACCTGGTCATGAAGGGGGGTCCCACAGGAACTGCAGCCCAAATCCAGGGGCTCAGCGCTGGTGGGGGGTGACACATTGCTCAGGGACTTGGTTTTTGCACAGAACTCAGGGTACTCCGAGGAGAAGCGCTCATAACCCCCTGCAAGAAGAGAGGCACGAGGCATTATCCCAGGAACTGCAGAACAGCATAGCCAGAGCTGACGCATCTCACCGTGCCCTTCACCACTAGATGATGCTACAGTGATGGAGAGTGGTCTCCTGCCCCGGGATGAGCAGCCAGGCTCCTGGCAGCAAGGGGAGAATCCTTGAGGCCCCACCACTCCCTTAGAGAAAGAGCTCCAAGAGCTCTGTAACACTCTTGGCTGCCCAGAGTCTCTGGTCCAGGGTTTAGCCCCCTACACGCCATCAGCCAAAACCCCAGACCAAGGCCAAGGTTGTTCTCCAAGATGACAGAGAGAGGATTTGTTGCCAGCATCCTCTGACTTTAATGGGAAAAGCTGCTCCCAGGCCAAAGACTGTTCAGTTCCCAGCTTTCCCAGACAATATCATCCTGCCACAAAGCACAGGGAGGTCTTCCACTTTCCCAGCCTGACCCTCCAGCTCAGGGCTCCCAAAACAAGAGGCCAGGGAAGCCCCAGCACTGGCCAGGTACAGTGAAGCTAACCCCACAGCAAAGCCACTCTCCAGAGAGAGACCTCCACTGCCTTTCGAGGACACGCATGCGACCTGAACGTGGAGGTGAGCGCCCTGTGAAAGAGCGGCTTGCTCCTTTGACCTGCTGCCAGGGGGATAAGCAAAGGTGATGTCAGATCTGTCTAATGGCAACAGCAAACCCCATCGACTTCCCAGGACAGGGAAACTGCAGCGTTGGCTGCAAATAAACACTTCTGGTGAGATTTCCTTCTCTCGTTCAAATCAAATCAACAACCCTGATATCCTTGTAGTCTGACCTTGAGCCTTAAAACCAACAGAAATCAGGTATTTTGCTATCACCACAGGAATCTAGCTAGACCAAGCCCTGACTCCCAGGACAGCTCCTGAAGACTCACCCCAGCTGCAGGACCTATGGCTGCAGATTTGGGCTTGCCAGAGCACACACAGCAGGACTCATGCTCCTTAGCCAGCCTTAGCTCTGAGACTGCCCTGAACAAGGCTGGATGTTCAAGAGACCAGTGGATGCAAGGGCCTCCAGCAAAGCAGCCCAGGAATCCCTAGGCAGATAGAGACCAATGTCACAAGCATCCCAGTGTCCTTTATGGTTTCCTCTCCCTACACAAGGAAGGGCTCTGGTACCTTAAAGCAGAAACACGCATATGCATTGCTGAATTTGCATTGTCCCTCCCACGTGAGCAGGACAGTTTGCAGGGGCTGCGTTTCCAGGGCCTAACATCCCTTTGCAGTACTACTGGTTTGATTTGGAGGAGCACCCAAAATCAAGTGCCCCTGTTAGACATCTTCAGGAGGCCTGATCCTAAAATCCCAGGATCTACCACATCCCACTCTGGCAGCCACCACACCACCCTGAGGGGGAGAAGCTGCCTGGGGTGATGTGCGGAAACGGGCTTCCTCCTTGGAAAGGCAAAGCGACCCTTTCAAGCAGTCAAAGGTGTGTTTCTCTTCAACGTATCTCATCAGACCTAATGCCTGTTCCACCGAGCGCCACATCCAGCAGCTCCATTCAGTGGCGTGCAGATCCCGGCTGTTCTTGCCCAGCACAGAAACCACGCGGTGCGGGCGCCCATCGCCAAGCAACACCCAGCCGGGCTGTTTCACAGGGAACCTGGCAGCAGTCTGATCTGCACAAAACAGATCCCGGCCTTCATCGTGACCTGCACCCACCAACTTTGCATTTGGACAGGCACAGTGCTGGGTTAGCACAGCTCTTGTGAAATCAAAGTGAGCTCAATGATCTTAGTAGCTCTGTGGTAAGTGAGGAAGAGGTCTCTAGTGCCAAGACTGAGTCTCTAGGAGCCCGGTCCTTAAAAAGAAAAGATTGAAAACCCCAAACAACCTCCCATGAGGGCCACAGGGGCACCAGAAGCCCTCAACTGACAAAAGCCACCCCTGAAGCACAGCAGCATTTCCTGCCACGTGCTTGGCTCCCAGCACCACGACGGCCCACAGCGAAGGACCCGAAAGCGTGTTCCCGAGCGAGCCCCTGCTGTGCAGGCGCTCCCACAGCAGCGTGTCGTATCGCATCCTTGGAACAGCTCCTGCTGTTTTTACTGTATCTAGTACAACAGAAGTGCTAGCTCCTCCATCTATCAAGTCTCTTAATGGATTTGCTACTCTGCATACACATCCTCACTCCTGCTGTAAGTAAACCAAGGAATAAATTAACTCTCAGGCTGTAAACAAAAAAAGAAAAAACCCCACCGAGCTCATCCAGGAACCCCAGCTGAGCATCCCCACCCCCTAAATCATCTCACAACAGTTCTCAGGACCGGCAGCCCCAACTGCTCGCAGCATCTCATTTAACACACGCCGGTGCTGACACCACGGCGGGGGAAAGCCCCGATCGCTGCCGTCGTCGCAGAAGCAGCACAGAGGCATCCCGGGGGGTTCTGCCCACCGCAAGGGGACATCGGCGTGACACCAGGTATTTGCTCCCGCACGAAAGCCTTCTCTGCCCCGTGGGGCTGGGGGGGGGGCACCCAAACAAAGAGGGGGGATTCTCCCCGCTTCCACCTGCGGTGCCTTGTGCCACTGGGCTTGCACCTCGCCCCCGGGGTCTGCCCGCCAGCCCAGGACC